GTAAAGAAGTTGCAAAAAGAATCATTTTAGAATTCAAGCCACAAGTTCTATTAACTGTTCATTGGGATGAAAAATTGTTACCTTATTTAAACAGCAGAGATAAAGTGGATTGACTGCCTATATTAGTGACAGGATATGATGTAGAAAAACTGTTGTCGGTCCCAAAACTGGATAGATGCACAGGTGAACAAATGAGATATGCAACAGAACAAGCTTTAAAAGATTGGAACATTTCATGACAAAATTGTGGCACTCTGTTTTGATACTACTTCAAGCAATACAGGCATACATTCAGGTGCTTGTACCTTACTGGAAAAATTAATTGGAAAGTCTTTATTATACACTGCCTGTCAACTCTATGTTCATGAAGTGATTTTATCCCATGTTTACAAAACTTGCTTTGGGGCATCTTCTGGTCCAGTTGTTTCTGGTTGTTTCTACGATTTCATGATCAGTGGAGTAAATTCAATTTTGTATCTTGGCTCTTAACTGATGCAGATCTCAAAGTGTATGGTTTGTTTGTACCATCAGCAATAGAATTTGCTGTAAATATGTTGTTAGGAACAAAACAACCTCGCAATGATTGCAAAGAATTTTTGCAACTGTCGATAATTGTTTTAGGAAAAACTCCTCCAGGTCAAGGTGGAATAACCTTTTGTATTCCTGGTGCTATGCACCTAGAACGATGGATGGTAAAAGCACTCTACTCTACTAAAATATTTTTGTTTCAACATCAATTTTATTTAACAAAGAATGAAGAGAAGAATCTTCTATGATTTTCAATTATTTCAATTTTGATTTACACGGAACTTTGGTTTCAGACTACCATCTCTTCATTTGCTCCTCACAACGACCTGACACTGATTAAGAAGTTGGATAATTTCAAAATATTTGAAAAAGAAGTTGCTGAAACTGCTATAAATGCAATCGCAGGACATTTATGGTATTTAACTGAAGAACTTGTGAGTCTCTCTTTTTTTAGCAATGATGTTGATAACCAAACTAAAGAAAAAATGTTGATTGCACTTAAAAAGCCAGCTAAAAAAAAAAAAAAAACAGGTAAAAAGGCTTGAAGGTAAAGGATTAATTGATACAATTGTAAAAATGAACTTAGATGACTTTGTAACAAGTAGATCAAAATATGTATTTGAAGTGCTTGGAATAAATTGGACATCTATGAAGGATCATCACCTAGACACATGGAGTACAGTAACCGAATACCAGGAAGCATATAAAATTGTTAATTCTATGAAAGTTGTGAATGATACAGCTGAAAGAAGGGTGAAACTTGTTTCAGATTACATAAATAACTCAATTGCAATATATTTTACAAACTGTGGAAGAACATCCACATTGAATTCCAAATATGTGATAGTCCACAGTTGTGAAGGCATTAACAAAAACAAGTGAACAATTAACAAGTGAAAACAAGTGAACAATTTGTATCAAAATCTGATTAAAATAAAAATTAAATTTGAATAAAAAATTAGAACTTTGCATCCAAAAAAAAACTAAAATACATTCAATTTTATTTTCCGTTGACCATAAAATCTGATAATATCAAGTTCATTGAGCAACCCCTAGATATCGAAATATCATTAATATTTTTTGTATAGTTTATTTTTTATTTAAAAGGAACACAATAAAGGTTGAGAATCCAATTTTGAATACTTTTTATTTTTCGTCACCCTATTAGCCATGCCCTAACATAAAAATAAGTATCAAAACTTTCAACAAAACCTTGTATTCTATACCATTTTCGATAGTTTCAAAATAAAATTGGCAGCCATCAGAATTAAGAAAAGCATTTTAGGTCAGTATAAGGTCAGCACAAAATAATAAAATCAAGGTTCAACAAATCAACAAACGTATGAACATTTAGCATTAAATTGACAAAAAAAGTTAATGTCGAGATCATTAACTTTACTTTTAAATATAGATATCTGAAAAACAAATGTAACATTTTGCAATTTTATTAGGTATTTAAATAAACAGTTTTGCCGATTTAATTTTAATCATTTTACTAAGAATTAAAAAAAAAAAAAACAAGAAAAAAATTGCCGACCTCAGACACCGTCAGATCAGTAGTTAGGTCAAAATTGCTGAATGCCAACCATAATTTTGAGGGCTGAATTGGTTTAAACAATTTCCAGAGTGAAATTTTTTAAATGCTGGTAAAATATTAGAAGAGCTTTTTCTAACAACTTCAATAATTGTTTGAAATCAAGATCACATTTAAAGAGATACGCAACTAGGAAAGAACTAAATGAGGTAAAGATTTCATCTGTTGAAGAAGACTAGCTTCTTTTTTTTTGATAAGATTGACTCAAAACTGATGAAATTAATTGCTTCAAAAAAAGAAGATCAGTTTAAACTTCTTTTGAATATTTATTTGATTAAGTTGATTTCAATTTTTTTTAAAAATTGTTTTCAAAAATTGTTTTCAACTGCTAAAAGCTAATGGGTTTAATAATAAAACAAGAAATTGACATTGTTAATGGCAGATACTTTGACTATTTGATTTTACTGAAAAGGAAACTTTCTACTTTCAAAATCAATGACAATTGGATTTGCTGTAGAATGTTACATTCTTTTTAATACTTTTTTTCTTTCTAATTCTTTTTAATACTTTGTCATTTTTATAATATTTACAAAATTAAACATAATCTCTCTACTACTTTTTGGTCTTTGACCCTGGGTGTTGATCAAAATGCATAAGAAAAGTTTTCTTATTCAGTAACAGTTACATAATCAGCTTTTCTAGCAGAAAAATCAGAAAAGGTTGCATGGAGCTTCCATTAACTTCCTTGATAAAAAACCAGTTTTAAAAACACCATGGCTTACATGGAGGTTGTAACTCCCAAATTTTAGGACTTGAAAGTTTAGCTAGCTCTTGTTGTTCACACTGCTTGTCAATAATATCAAAAAGTAACCAGTTCACATTTGGGTTATCCAGACACAATTGTGCCAGATATATGCTATTAATTGTTGCAAATTATGCGGTCATACCTTTAAGTAAATTAAGAGGCAAGGTTGCCCAAAAAATCAGTCTAAGTATCTTGGTTCAATGCTATTTATATTGTTGTTCCAAAACTTAATATTTAGACTTTCATGAAACAAAACCATATTAAAAAAGATTGCTTTACATTTTTTGTAAAAAGTCTACTTTTTGTTGAAAATAATGTACAGAACTATAATGTATAAACATAATGTTCCAAACTAAATCTAATAACATAACCAAGTTTTAATCTATCCCTCTCATAGGATTTAGAAATTTTGCTGTAAGGTAACATTTATTGATATAGTAGACCTTCTCATTACAGGAGTTCAATTCGAAATTATTTTGTACAGCTTGCAAAATAGAATAGATTTCTGAATACGTTTTATCATATTGATCTAATAAACAAACTGTTTGCTATCGGATATAGACTGTGCAGGCCTAAAGTAGCAAGATACTGGCTTTGACTTCTAAATACTTTTTTGCCCCTCCATGTGACTTATCACACAGCTCTTAAACTTATATTTGACAAAGTTAAATTAAACATAACATGTTTTGCACTTGGCTGTCTTTTTATCTGTACCATTTACCAGCCATTTTTCAAACAATGGATTATTCAATCATTCTTCATTGAAATATGTTGCTACTTAAAATTTTTTTAAACTTTTGTTTATTCTACAAAAAGAGTATGAAAATACAATATGGTTCAAAGAAAATTTGAAAACCTTCACATTTCAGCTATTTATACACAAAAAAGTACCTAATAAAATCATTTAAAACATCAATAACTGTTCCACCTAAACCAATAATGTTATGCATAACTTTTTTGTTTGGTTTAAAATGTTAATAAATGACCAGAATTTTTTTTTTATAATGATCAAATTTTATTATATTCAAACAATCTTTCAAGCTATATGATTATTTAACTAGTAACCTAAAGAAGGATCTAGATTTCATCTAGATTATTTACAATAAAGCATTTTAAAACATTAAAATAAAATAATACAATTAAAAAATTCCATGAACTTCCCTGAGTCTTAATTAAGTCAATCTTTTTCCTGTGATTTTTCTCGATTGTAACTAAACTTACCTGACTTTCACCAATTCTCTGATTTGATGGCAACCCTGTTTATTTTAAACACTCATAAACAATTTATTTCCATACAAATAACAATTATGAATAAAACAGATTTGCAACTTTTTTATTATTATTATTAAATTCACCTCCCCAAGGCTCAAGAGATACTATAGATACCAGAGAAACTTCTGTCGAGAAGATTATTATTTTTTTCTTTTTTAATTTTATTTAAAAGTTTCTCTTAACCCTAAACTTCAAAACACAATCCGTTTAAATAAAGGCACTGTCGAGTGAATTATGTTAGTGTAGTACTTTCAGAGGTGCAGGGTATAAACTTTCATCTCACAATCAAATATCAAATTTGATTGTGATCTGTCACTTGTCTACTTGTGCATAATAAAATCCATTGTAACTTTTTGTTAGTGCATGATCTGCATTTAAATGATTACTGTGGCTCTATGACACAAGAGCAATTCTTTAACCTTCTAATACTAACAACCTTACTTTACTTACATATTAAATAATGCAAAACATATACAGATTTTAGTACAATACTTTTTTGAAGTTGACAAAAATATATTTATAATTTGATTATATTTATAATTTAGGTAAAGCTACAGTTATGCGGCCTAAAATAATTATATTTTTGCCAGGGGGTACTGCTACATTGACTATTTTATAGCCTGACTCGCAACGGAGTGCTGCTACATCGACTATCTTATAGCCTGCTGCTACAAGGAAGTGCTGCTACATTGACTGAGGGTTTGGCATGGGGAAGCAATCTTTTTTCTTTTATTATTTCAATTATATTCCTATTGTTTGTAAAGCCTCTACTGACAAGCGGAAAAATAAAATTATTTTAGGCCGCGTAACTGTAGGATTACCATAATTTTATAATGACAAAAATATATTATAACTTGATACCTTAAAGAGTGTACAAACTATATCAAGCTCTTCAGGTTCTACCCATACCATTACTCCTCGATGTGGTTTAGCAATGCCAGGTTGAAAATTAAATGGTCTTGAGTACTTGCGTCGATTTGCACCTCTTTGAAACAATACTAATAACTTTGTTGGTGTCCTGTGCAAAAAATATTTTAAACAGTTGTATAAAAAGTTTAAATAGTTGTATAAAAACATGGGTCATAATATAAGAAACCTATAAATAAAGTTTCGATGTAAATTTAAAAAAAATTTTTATAAAGAGTCTACCATTTATTATCTTTCTTGCATTCTAAAGTCACTGATTGTAATTGTACAAAAAATTGAAACTTTGCTGCTTTTTTACCAACACGTTGAATACGCTTCCAAACTGAACCCATTATAATTTTAATATTTGACTCATCAGAATTTCCTAATGTAAAATTTTTTTTTTTAATTTCAAGAGCCTTAAAAAATTATGATAGCTTTTGCTATCATGATATAGATAAATAAGTATTACATCAAGACTACAATTGGAATTTCAGAGAACTTAATTAAATACATTTAACTTTTACAGCCTTTTTAAACAAATAATATTAATTTTCTAGACATTTATACAGCTAAAAAATTTTTATGGTTAGTTTAATAGAATAAAGTATCAGTAACAAAAGCTTCAATATAAAGTTTTGGTAGCAATCTTATGATTTTTAGCAAGAAGTTTATCATCAAATTGATATTAAGTATAAACTTTTCGTTGTACTAAAATTAATAAATTCTTTGCTTTAAAATCGTTGAACAAAAATAAATATTTATTAAAACAAAAATACGGCGGCGAAAATAATAACATTGCTTAAATTTTATTTCACACGCCAACGATTTAAAAAAATACTTTTTTAGAAAATTTTGCTGCGATAAAAACGAAAGTGCTAATTTGTCATTTTTAAGATTGAAAATTGAGAAAATTAAAAAGTGTGAAATTTGAGCAATATGCTATAAGCAGCTAGTCTGGGTTTTTAGATTCATAAGAAACTTTTTTTTCAATTGATTTTTTAATAAGTTTAAAAGGTCTTACTACCTTGAAACTTTGTCCAGGCAATTCATTTTTCTTTTAAATTTATTTGTTTGGTCAATAAAATTGCTCTTAATGTTTTAGTCATAAAAATATATATGAAAATAACGTTTACGAATCAAATGCTAAAGTCTTATCTTTTAGCCTCTTTGGTACAGCAAGCTGTAAATTACTTTCGATGCTAAAACCATTTTCGTTTCATTATAGAAATATAATAAACATGGTAACATATCAATGTCAATAACAAAATCTATAATGTATCAATGTCAATTACAAAGTCAATAACGTAATAAATAGCGTAGGCAGAATTTTTTGATGTTTTAGGTACGACATTTTTAGACATTGTTTAAACTCTAATTTAAACAATGTCTGGAAATTTACAACCTCATCATATTGGGGGGGAGAGTGTAAATTTTACATGGCCATTATTTTTGAACAAACTTTTTAGGATATTTTTGTTCCCAGATTTCAATCACTTCAATTTTTTGCAAAACATTCTCATTTGACATAACCTTGCCTATGTCATGCATGAGCATAATTAAGTTTGGAGTTTTCTATATGTATGAAAGTGTAGTATTTGAAACATCTAAACAGGGTCGACGACACGAGTTTCGAAGTGGGGAAACAGTGTAAGGGAGGGGGAATCATTAATTTGTAGAAAAAGTCCGATAAAAAAATAGAATAGGGGGCACGGGCCCTCGACTCCCTGGTGTCGTCGGTCTTGCTAAAAATTCTACAGAGCTGCTATAACTATACTAATTGTATAATTTGCGGCCAGGGTGCAGTGGTTAGAATGCTTGCTTAAGAAACAGGACATCCAGGTCCGAAACGAACTCTGGTCATATTTTTGCGTCACGGTAAGGAAAGAGGCGTGTACTTCCTAGTTAAATGCACTTCCGCAGTACTATGTGACAAGATCGTAAGTCTTCTTGGACATCTAAATAACGATATAAAAAATTTAATAATGCAAAAATAATTTTATTAAGGAGATAATGTTATTATCTTTAACTAGATATTAAAAATAAAATTAGATTTAATTAGATATTAAAGTAATGATTAGAGTGCTATGTTAAATGTTTGCGATCAATGATAGATAATTGATTTTTCGAAGTATGTTATTCGAAACCAAAAGTTTGGAAAATATTTAACTCATAAACATTAAAAGCGCCAGTTTCCTTGAGTAACGGTTTGCCATGGGCTACATATTTACAAAGCATTGAATTCAACTTTTGCTTAACATATATATTTTTTAGAGCTAAGGAGAACGCGCTTGCCCAAACAATAATGCATTAGCTAATATAGCTATAAATGAATGAATAATATATATTTTGTAAACTTGTACACAGAACGAACGTTCTGCGCTAAATGCGTTTAACCATGGAAGTATAAAACAGATGGAAGGTCATTGAGCCGCAAACATCAAAGCAGTTTTAAGTCGTCTCGGGAGTATGCTTGTAACCAACAATAAAAAAAAACAAGTTTTACTGGACAAAAGACAACAAAATTCACTGAAATGATTTTTATTAAAATATCAAAAAATGAATTATTCTAGATTTATGCTGCAAAGTTTTAACCATTAGTAATTGCAATTATTCAACAAAAGGTTTATTAAAACTCGGTAATTAAATAGAACCACTTGATTTGAACAGCATATGTTAGTTTAAGCTTCTTTTTTTGCTTCAAGTCATAACACGACATTTGATTAAAAAGACAATGAAAACAATTTTTAAAAAATCAAAAAAATTGTTTTCTAAATAACTAAAGTTTAAAGTTTCATTAGCTGTATATCATAATTCCATTCATTCTTGTAGTACTCCATTCATTTAAAAAGTCTTTTTTAAAAAAGTTGTTTGCCATATCGTTGCACCATTTTTAATGTTTTTCTTGAATATTATTGGCGAACCTTCAAAATACTATATTTTAAAATTATTATAAACATACCTACGTATAAAGATTAGGCGTTTAAGTACAGTCTTGATGTCGTTTTCTTTTAGTTTTACAAATACTGCTTTCAAAACACGGGCATTGAGATTGTCAAGTGTATTTAGGGCCATTAGCAATTTAACGGAGAATGTAGGGGAAGCTCCACCCCCCTCCTTTAAAAAAAAAAGGTGATTTTAAAGTTATAGTCGGATTTTTTATGAATATAGTCGGTTAGTCGAGTATTTGACAAAATCCAGTTGGGTTAATTTTACTTTTAATTTTAGTTTTTTTTTATTTGAAGCCAGTCGGGTACTTTTTACGGATTTACCCATCCCCCCTCATTTTATTTGTAGAATCGCCTCTGTTCAGGGTTGTTTGAATCTTATTATATATGATATAATGATCTTATGATTAGACATTAAAGACTTTTGATAGTACTATAATAACCACAAAAAAAATTATAAAAACTATATATAAATATATAGTTTATATTTATAAGTTTTTTTATAATTTTTTTTGGTGGTTATTATAATGCTATCAAAAGTCTTTAAATCAAATTAATTGCAATTAACTCTTGCAGGCTTATGCCTGCAAGAGTTAATTGCAATTAAAGTTTTTGCCTAATTACACCAAAAAACTTTATTTTCAAAATAAGTTTCCACTGTTAAAAGTCATTGAAAAAAAATCTCTAAGCCTTAAATCTTGCAAATATCTTCAACTAAAAGATCTTTAAAGCTTTGTTGAATTTTTAATTCGTTCTTTAATAAAAATTGAAATTTGAAGTTGAAAAAATTCGTATTTTTTTATATAGTGATAAAACTATTAATAGTTGGTTTTAGGTAATTTTTGTTAATTTATTAATTACTTTCTTCGTTTAAATATGTCTTAATAAACTTTACTTAATTTCCTCCCATTTGTATTGTTGGTTTAACCAGCTTTATTTTATTGATTGTAAACTCCAATAATGTAAACAAAAAAATTGACTTTTTTTATAATATTTATATATAAATGCCTAGTCCAGCAAAAACTCACGGTGATTGCAAAAAATCAGTTTGCTTTATATTTTTGAAGAAGCGTGATCAAAAAGTTTGGTTCAAAGAACCAAATATATTTTCAAGTGTAACCTTGATTTTAATGAAGAGAAAATTGGAAGGTAGTAATAATAGACAAATACCACAATTGTATACTTTTAACTTAATCATTATTAAACCATCCAGAAAACATTGAGGACCCGTCTATATATAACCGTCTATATATCAGCATCTAAAAGTTATATGAGCAGCCATAGCGCAGTGGTTAGCGAAGCCATAGCAGTGGTTAGAACTTGTTTCAGAAGCTAGAGATCCGTGGTTCAACGCCACCTCTAGGCAAGTTTCATAACATTTGCTTAGCTAGGCAGAACTTAACAAATTTTCGTGAAAAAGTGAAAACTGATGATTGTCTAGCTAGACAATCATCAGCTTTCACTTTTTCACGAAAATTAGATGAGTTAAGAATAAATATATATATGCCTCCATCAAGTTCGTTTTTCTCGTTTCTTCTAGGTTTGTTAATTTATTTATTATCTAATTATAAAAATTAGAATCTCTACTTTGATTACAGGTTTCTGTAATCAGATTACACTAAATTTGTTGTTTAAACGTTTTAGTAATGCTTTCAGGTTTTTGTTTATGCTCCTGATATTTTAATTTTTTATAAAAATAAAGAAAGATAATAATTAAAACAGCTTGTGCCTCGCTAATGTTATAAAATTGATTACTTTTGAAAAACTTTACGTCCGTCAATGTCATTTGTGAAAATTATTTTCTCGACTACACCTTTTCAAGATGTAAATGAGAACATGAAAGTTGTAATTAAGAAGTCGTAATATGTAATTAAGAAACACAACATGTAATTGAGAAAACGTTATATGTAATTGAGAAACACGACATGTAAATAAGAAGTCGTAACATGTAATTAAGAAACACAACATGTAATTGAGAAAACGTAAGATATAATTGAGAAATCATAATATGTAATTGAGAAATCGTAACTTGTAATTGAGAACACATAAATTAAAATAGCAAATTCACAGTCTAAGTTTGTAGGTTGTTACAAAAGGTCTTTTTGGACATGAATTTAAGTTATAATCTTAAATTTTGCTTTTGTATGCACAAGTAATAATAATGGAATTGAAAGATCGCTGTGTTATATGCCAATACACTATGACCTGAAAGTCTGTGATTAAGCTAAATCCGTGTCAACATTTGTCACCAAATTTGTTTACGTCCAGTTCTGGAACAACCAGATTCAAGTTGTCCGATTTGTCAACATGAAATACACACAACTGAACAAGTTGAAAGGAAACGTTACGTTTTATCTTCTCCAAATGACAGGAGAAGAGTTGTTGAATGTGCGGAGCGATTTGAAGATTGGGTGAATCTCGTGCAAACGCTAGGTAT